GGGCCCGTGTGGGGTCCCTGTGGGGTCCGTGTGGGGCCCGTGTGGGGTCCGTGTGGGGTCCCTGTGGGGTCCCTGTGGGGCCCGTGTGGGGTCCGTGTGGGGTCCCTGTGGGGCCCGTGTGAGGTCCGTGTGGGGTCCCTGTGGGGCCCGTGTGGGGTCCGTGTGGGGTCCCTGTGGGGCCCGTGTGGGGTCCGTGTGGGGCCCGTGTGGGGCCCGTGTGGGGTCCCTGTGGGGCGCGTGTGGGGCCCGTGTGGAGTCCCTGTGGGGCCCGTGTGGGGTCCGTGTGGGGCCCGTGTGGAGTCCCTGTGGGGCCCGTGTGGGGCCCGTGTGGGGTCCGTGTGGGGCCCGTGTGGAGTCCCTGTGGGGCCCGTGTGGAGTCCCTGTGGGGCCCGTGTGGGGTCCGTGTGGGGCCCGTGTGGGGTCCCTGTGGGGCCCGTGTGGGGTCCCTGTGGGGCCCGTGTGGGGTCCGTGTGGGGCGCGTGTGGGGTCCCTGTGGGGTCCCTGTGGGGCCAGCATGCTGCAGCATCCCCTCTGCCCCAAGAGCCTGTTGTATACACTTGCTTTCTCTCTGTGTTTTCTTCTGGATATTTTCTCTTTCTCATCTTCCAGGTTACTCATTCTCCCTGGCCATATCTAACCTGTGTTTTTAAGTGTATTTTTTCAGTTCTAGAATTTCCATTTGGTTCTTTTAGTACCCCACTCTCTGTCACATTCTCGATCTTGTGCGACTGCTGTAGGCATGTGTAAGTGCCTCCTGAGTCTGTCAGTGACCCTCTTGTTTGCCTGTCCAGCTGTCTGCTCCTTGCCAAGACTACAGGTAGTGTTATTACCAGGACCTTTTATAGCATCTTAATATCTGGCAGGGTGTCCTTCTTTGATCTTGTTTCTCCAAAATGAGTTATATTAGTACTTTTTTTACTTTTCCATATGGACTTTAGAAACCCTTGGGTTCTCTATGACTTCACTCGGGCCGCCATAACAAAGTACCATGGATGGGGTGGCTGAAACACCAGAAATTCATTTCTCGCGGTTCTGGAGGCTGGAAGTCTGAGACAGGGTGTGGGCAGGGCCGGTTCCTTCTGAGGCCTCTCCCCTTGGCTCACAGAAGGCCACCTTCTCCCTGTGTCCTCACATGGCTGTCCCTGTGCATGTGTGTGTCCTGATCTCCTCTTTTTATTTTAAAGATTTTATTTACTTATTTGACAGAGAGACACAGCGAGGGAGAGCACACAAGCAGGGGGAGTGGCAGAGGGAGAAGCAGACTCCCCGCGGAGCACGGAGCCCGACGCGGGGCTCGATCCCAGGACCCTGGATCATGACCTGAGCCGAAGGCAGACGCTTGACGACTGAGCCACCCAGGCGCCCCCCTGATCTCCTCCTCTTATAAGGACACCAGTCAGATTAGATCAGGGCCTGCCCTACTAACCTCATTTTACCTTAATTACCTCTGTAAAGACACCGTCTCCAAATACAGTCACATTCTGAGGTTCTAGGGGTCAGGCCTCCAACACAGGAATTTGGGAGCCAGGATTGTGTGTGGAGTTCTGAGTTCTCAGCAGTTCTGAGCCTCTGGGGACCTAGAGGGTCTGATGGAAGCTAAGAGAAGTCCCGTCACATCAGGTCACAGTTGAGGAGGTCACGGAGTCATCAAGAGAGCCTGGTGTCCCCAGGCGGAGAGGCTGGGTGGGGTACCCACAAAGGTGGACAGCAACATTGCACCATTTCAAGAAGTCCCAGAGTCACATCCAGCAGGGACTGGGAAGGCCGACTGGCTGTGGCAGTGGGGTTCCAAGTGCCCTTGCTGTGGAGTGGCCACGGGAGGGCTCCCCAGAGGGATCGGAACAGTGGCACTGCAGGATGTTAGAACGTCACCCATTATCTCCTTTCCGGATACCCTGGGGCCCTGGATCAGCACCCTGTCCTCCCTGGGCCTCCCCGGTGAAAAGCACTAGACGCCAGGATCTAGAGCATTCCGCGGCCCGCGTCTGGGACACATCGCCTGGGGCAGGGATGGGGAACGGGAGAGGGTGGGAAAGGGGTGCAGTGTCCGAGGGAGGGGGAGGAGGAGGGGTGGAGTGAGGCTGGAGGCGGTGGGGCGCTGTGTGCAGCAGAAATGGGATGGGGTTGGGTGCCCACTGGGTGATGGAGACGAAGTAGGGTGGACGTGTGTGGAATCAGGAGATGGGGTGGGGGGCTGGCGCGGACGGGGTGCAGCGAGGATGAACGTGCTGGGAAGGGAGAGGGGCTGGGCGCTCCTCACAGACTGCCTCTTTCTCCTCCCTTCCCATCTCCCGGGGGATGAGCCTCCGCGTCTGCCCGCCCCCAATCCTAGGGCGGAGGCCTCGCGCAAAATCCAGACTCCGCGCTCGGGTGCAGGGTCTCCGCCACAGCCCGCTCCTTCCCGCTCTGCCAGGGCCCCTGAAGCGGCCACGCCAGCCCGCGGTTCCGAGAGAAGCCCGTGGCAGGTAAGGCCGGACGGCGGGATCCGGGCGCACCGGAAGGTCGGGGCGGGCAACCGCGGGGCTGGGGATGGAGGTGCCGCGAGAGGACCGGAGGGCCCCGGGAGGAGGGTCGAGCCGCCGCCCGGATTAGGCCCTGCGTCGCGTCCCGGTCCCCCGCCCCAGCTGCTCAGCTAAGCGGTCGGGAGTAGGGGGAGGGGGGGTGGAGCATGGCGCGGGGGTGGGGCGGGAGGGAACTGTGCCCTGGGTCTGGGCCTGCGGGGGCGGGGTCTGCACTGTGTCACCGCCGTGCGTCTCCGCGCCTCCCGCGAGGCCAGAATCCCCTGCCTGGGCTCTGCGCCCAATGCGCGCTGCTCCAAAGGGTCTGGAAGAGCCTGGCAGAGGTACACGCTTGGTCCTTTCTCCAGACGGTGATCTGGATCCTCGGGGGGCACTTAGTCCCCGAGACTGTCCTTCAAATACATCCCCCACCCCACTGTGGCCTCTGGTCCCGCCAAGCCTTGGAGACTTGGGTCGGTGGTCCCAGGGCAGCCCAGGATATGGGGCCCCCTCCTCCAGGCCTCAGCTCCCCGACCGCAGGGTGTTCACCACCCGCCATTCTTTGCTCCCACTTCAGCCCCAGGCACAGAATAACCGCCCCCCCCCCCCCCCCGGAGGTGCTCAACTCTCTCACCCTTCAACTCACCCCTTACTCGTTACTGAACAAGACTCCCACCCTCTATCCAGGCCTGAATGCCCAATCCTCCCAGCCCACCCAGGCCCCGAGCCGGTAGTTCTCCAGATGCTGGGGGCCCCTGTACTGCCAAGTGCTGAGTCTCCTGTCCCCAAGCCCTGAGACCGCTGGTCCCCCAGCCCCTGTGTCCAGGCCCTGAGCCCCCTGGTCCCTGGGCCCCTGTCCCAGAGCCCATGAGCCCTTGTCCCCAGGCCCTGAGCCCCTGGCCCCGAGGCCTCTGGTCCCCTGATCCTCACAGAAGCTGAGGTCCTTTCCGCGTTTTACCGCAGGTTTGCTCCACAAAGATGAACTGGACGGCCGCGACTTGCTGGGCTCTGCTGCTAGCCGCCACCTTCCTCTGCGACAGCGGCGCGGCCAAGGGTGGCCGTGGAGGGGCTCGCGGCAGCGCCCGGGGAGGGCTGCGCGGGGGCGCGCGCGGGGCCCCGAGGGTGCGCGTGAGGCCGGCGCCTCGCTACGCTGGCTCCTCCCTGCGCGTGGCGGCGGCAGGGGCGGCGGCCGGGGCGGCCGCGGGCCTGGCGGCGGGCTCCACCTGGAGAAGGGCCCCGGGCCCCGGGGAGCGCGACCTGGAGGACGACGAGGACGCGGCACCGGGCGGCAACCGGACGAGCCAAGGCGTCTACAGCTACCGGGCGTGGACTTCGGGCGTGGAGCCCACCAGCAGCCCGTGCCTCTGCCTGCTACTGGGCGGCGCTCTGGGCGCCCTGGGGCTGCTGCGGCCCTAGGCCCGGCCGGGCTCGCGGCCAGATCCGGCCCCCGGCCGGCGCCCTCCCCGCGGGCCTCTCCGGCCCCCCCCCCGGAGACCGCCAGCCGCCGAGGGCCCTTTCCCACCGCTGCCCACCGCCTCCGACCCAGAGAGCCTGTTCTCCTCTCACCCACCCGGAGGCTGCGTCCTGTTCACCGCCCTGCCCAAGTCCCTCTCCAGCCTCCCCATCGCCCACCCGACCAGAGGACCAGGGCCCATCAGTTCCAGGATGCCCCACCTACCGCATGGAGGTCAGGGTCCTCCCCAGCCAGAAAGGCAGGTGCCTGTGCTTCCACCCTGCCCAGCAGCCACCGTCTCTCCCGAGCTGCCCAGAGAGATGTGCCAAACCAGGATGTTCAAGCCATTCCGGCTGCCCTGACCCCATCCCGGACACTTGAGGAGTATGGACAGTGCTGACCGCCAGGCAAAGAGGCGGGCCCTGAGGACCCTGTGGCCCTCCCCACAGAAGCAGCCAGAATGGACCAAAGGACTAGTGGCTCTGGGGAGGAAGAGAGGTTTCTCTCACGGGTTGTGGTGTGCCTACCACCTGTACAGAAGAGGCAGTCTGGGGACTTCGGGGCCCAGAGCACCCCTGCCACAGCAGCTGCCCCACAGCCTTGCCAGCCCACCCTCAGGCCCAGAGGCATGCCCCCTCCCTGGGCAACCTCAAGACTAGGGGCCCCCTGCGGCCACTCTGCTCCCACTTGAAACAAGTCACTCAGCTCTCCTTGGGACCTGTTTTGGGGGGAAAACCACATTGTTTAAGTTTCAAGAGCTTTTCATTTCCTTTGAGGTTTAGGTTCACATTCTGGAATCAGTGCTCGCTAGTCCTCAGGGATGGCTCGGCCACTCCCACTAAACAGCCCTCCCCAGGACAGCCCACTTTTGCTTCAAGCAGATCTGTAGTTGGCGCCTCTCCCCCTGCCGCCGGAAGGAGAGGGCAAGGTGTGAATGGTGTGAATGCACAGGCCAGATCTCAAGTCAGAACCAGCAAACAACACGGCCACAAGGCAGGTCCTTGGAGGCGGGCAGCAGCGGCCAGGTGCCAGCCCAGCACCCGACAGACAGACAGATGTGAGAGTATCGGGCTCAGCAAAAGAAGCCGGGAAGCTGAGCCCCCTCCAACACCTCTCTGAGCATCTGAGGCTGTTCTGGGGACAGGACAGACCCCCCAAGAGGCCTCTAAGGAAATGCCAGGCGGGCCTTGCAAGGGTTTGCCTCTGGCACCCAAACACCCTCTGCAGAAAGCCAGCCCTTTCAAGCCTCGGGCCTGGGTCACAGTCCATGAGCTCAGCCCTGGGGGCCTTGGCTCTTTACCACATCCTCCACCCCATATCCCACAGCAGGACAATGTCCCAGGCCTGGATCCTCTGGATCTCCCCCTCCTTCGGTGCTCACTGAAAGCCTCACCTGCTGCTGGGTTGCCTTCCAGAATATGCCCTCACCCCCACCCCCACCCCCAGACCATGGGGCCTTTGGACTCAGCTGATGGACACCAGCACCTCCCAGGGGGCAGCGGGGGTAGGACCTGCAACCTCTGCTCTCCCACAGCTGACACCCAGATCTGGTTAGGGTGAGGGTCTCCAAGCTACCAGCAGAACCCTGGACCAAGCATTTCTCTCCAAAGACCAGGACACAGAGCTGCAGAACACAGCTCCCTGCAGCCACCTGTACCCACAGCGCCGGCAGACTCGGGGTACAGCCCAGTGCCCCTCCCTCCATTCCAGACCAAAGACCAGCAGGCTGTGGCCTCGTGGGCAGTGTGACCATTCTGCCACTGCACCTGCAGGCAGGAGAGTCTGCACAGGGACTCGGTTCTACCTGAGGGGCCAGGGGCGTGGGCCAGCTTCTCCGGCACCCTCACAGGCCACATGGCGCCACATGGTGGATGTGGAGAAACGGCATTCTCAAGTCAAGAGCTTATTTCACACACCAACCTGATTCCGGGAGCGTGTCTGGCCTTGGCACCAGCACACGCTTGAGTTCTTCCCACTCTACTGGTCAGGGTTCCAGCAGGAAGCAGATGGCGCCCAGGGCGGGTAATCTCAGGAGAGGTCAGTGTGTGTGCTCCAGGTGTGGGCACCTTCAGGAGGAGAGGTGCCCTGCAGAGACTCAGGTGTTTCCAGGAAGGCCAGGCCCCCACTGGACACGGAAGAGGCAAAGCAGCTGACCAGGTCCACCCCCACCCCCTTTCCTTCCCCTGCCCTTTGCTGGAATGCAGGCTGCTAGGTCAAGTTCCCTGGGGAAGAGTCCCACTGTCCTGTTAGCTAGAAGGTGCTTGGAGGCAGTGAGAGGCTCTGGAGTCCCCACTGACCCTACCAGTGACCCTCCCAGCCCACACGCAGCTGGGGACAGACAATCCTTGGGTGCTGCCAGAGCTGTCTGGACCCTCCTGTCCACTGTGTGTGCACATTTTAGTCGTGTCGTGAAATAAACACTCTGCTGGCAAAAGAACTGTCTTTATTGCAGGACCCAGGACACTACCAAGGACCTAACACAAGAACCCTTGCTAAGTGGCTCATATCACAGTTTTTCTTGCTGAGAGGGGCCTTAACACGTGGGCCCAAGGTGCTACTGGCGCACAGCAGATGAGCCATCAGCAGAGACAGGCCTTTTAAAATGTTTAAATTACAGATTGTACTCTCACCTCCTAAGAAAACATCAGCTTCTCCTTAAGAGACACTCAGCATGTGTGAGGCACACAGGGACAGCTCAGAGGTGTCAGCAGCCCCGATGTCCAGACTCCGGGCACCATGCCCTGTAACCAGCATCTGGCCAGGCTGTGGAGGGGCCATAGGTACAGGCTCCTTCCTAGAGATGAGACCTGAGTACTGTACAGTGACCAGCATGGAGATTCTGGGAAAGGGAGTCCCAGGGTCAAATTCTTGGCTGTGAGGGCCTGGGATGTCCCAATCTCTGGTGCCAAGGGCCAGGCAGGAGTGAGGCCCCTGCCAGCTGGACTGGTTCAGGGGTCTGCCAAGGAGGGTCTCTGCAGGACATCCCTGTCCAGCATCACTGGGCCGAGCAGCCCGCTGCGGAAGGTGCGGAGGAAGTCTCGGGCTGCCGCGGGGTAGTTGGGCTGGATGACGTTCACATCCCCTGGGGGAGACAAGATGGTCTGGGGAGGAAGGCACCTCTGTGCAGGGCAGACCCAGAATTCCGACGCACCCCTCCCTGCCCGTCCTCAGGGACTGATGGTGGGTACCTGTGGAGCTTGGGCACCAAGAAAAACCACAGAGTCTGGGCAGTGGCGCCTGACCTCAGGAGGCTTAAGAGGGGTGGGACACAGGGTGTACCCAGCACGAGGCAGGGCCGCCCTGAGCCCCCTCCTCTGCAACACCTCCATTTCCAGAAAAGCCACATGTGCCCACAATGTCCTCCCTGGCCAATTGCAGCCCGCTCCACTGGCTGGTTCTCCAAGCCCAGCCCGGGGCTGAGGCCTCCACGTCTCACCTGTGCCTGTGAGCACCTTCACCTTCTGCGTCTTCCCCAGCCTCACAGCCACCTGCTTCAGCACACTGGCTATGTCATCACAGGCTCCGTCCAGACCGTAGTGCTGCACGTACCTAAACACAGACCAATGGTCAGGGAGTGGGGGCCATGGCCAGGACGTGCGGGGTCACGCCCGGCTCCACCAAGGACCCCACTAGAGCCTGTCGCTGCATCATCCACCCCATTCCTGAGCAGGCCCGGGGCCTGGAGCCCTCAGTCAGCACGGCAAGCCACTGGAGACACTCAGGGCCTCCAGGCAGCCGCACGAGGTCAGGGGCGCCAGGATCACCAGCACTCTCTCCAATGAAGAAGGAACAAGGTGTGCTTGGCATTTTGGCAGCCCTCGGACCAGCACACTGAGCACCCACCACTGCTGAGAACTGCCCGGTGGCTCCCGTGAACTCCCTGTCCCACAGGACTCCGGCTCTGGGCCTGATGAGAAAGGCCAGCACCAGGCCGGGCACATCTGACCGTGAAGGGCTGAAGGAGACAAACCTCATCCACAGACAAGCACCTCCCTGAACCCCGGGAGCCGGGAAACTCCACCCTGGACCGCCTGATGGCAGAGGAAACAGTGGATTTGCCTCACGGTCCACAATGGAGGGCAGGGCTCAGCCATGAGGAAGGTAAGACATGGACTCAGCCCCCACGTGGGCATCGAAGTGCCCATCTCAGAGGGCGTCTGAACGCTGCGAATGCAGGCCCTAAGTCAAACTTCTGAGGGCGGCAGCCCCACGAGCCCTTCTGTCCTGGTGACCTTGAGAGCTGTCCCCAGGAGAGCACTCCCACCAGCACACAGCCGAGAGCTGCCACCTGCAGGGACTCTAGAAATTCTCTAGAAACATTCTCTAGAAATGCTGCAGGACCACAGATGCCCAGACTCCCACACAACTGAAGCAAAAAAATGAATTTGAAATTTTACTTCCATGTAAAACAGAGTAACAGGAACTGAATTTACCTCCCCTGAAACAACCAAAAACACACAAAAGAACTGTGTCCAAGGCACCAGACATCAAGCTATGAAGAATGTAAACAGGGACCCACCACTGCCCCGCACGGCACCTCATGACCCCACAGAGCCCAGAGGGTTGCTGGAGCAGAGACACCACCAGCTGAACCAGACGCCAGAGCTGCCCAGAGAGAGAATTCTAGAAATCGACCAACCTCTATATTTAGCAGAGGAGGGCTCAGCACATGTGCGAAAGGAAATTCTCCAAAGCCAGAGGCCAGGAGAAACCCTGAGCAGGGCAGAGGGACCGTGCCCAGCGCTCACACAGAGCCAAGGGCAGGTGGATGGTACACAGGGCAGGGGAGGGCCCCGCCCCACGTGGGGCAACGACTCCAGACCCACAGGTCCGGAAGGAACTGTTTCCAGACAATCATCCCAAGCAAAGCTCAAGGATTTGTGCAGGAACCTAAAGATGCCCATCATCCAAAGAGACAAAATTCAAAATGCCTAGCAGCCAAGCAAACATTATCAAGCATGGA